TAGTGAATTTCCCATATAGGGAATAAGCTATTACCGTAGGTCTCATGTTCAGACTGAGGACCGATTTACTTTTTCGTTTTCAGGTCCTCAGAGGCAAAAACATCATCCTTTCTAATTCATATGTACAGGGTGGTTGGTACTTAATGTGACAAAAATTTTTTGGTGTAAGTACAAAGTAAATGAAGTGTGATGATGCATATAAGACGTTCAAAGTATAAAAATTAGCTTCCCAAAGAATTATTTTAAGTTTTCCAAAAATAACTATATATTTAAACTTAATAGAGCAATTTACCAATTACCTGAAAAGGATTTGAGTAGATAATGTCAATTTTGTGTTCTACATTATTAAATTTTGTATAAGAATAATAGAAAACGATGGAGGATCAATAGTAAAACTCCATTGTAAGTAGATCCAAGTATAAAAATTAAGGTGTTGAACAAAAATAAAAAAAACTGGTCTATTTCATTTTTCTATACCCTATATACAAGAAGGTGGTCAAATATGTTAAAACTGTGCCATTTTAAGCTTTCCAACCATATGCAGAAAAAAATTTTGTCACACTGAGTACCGTACCAATTACCCTGTATATACTTATACATGTGTCGGTTAGCACGATAAATCAAACAAAAATTATAAGTTATCCGGTTTTGATGAAATTTGGTATAAGTATGTAGGCTAACCGTACATTTATTCAAAAAAGTTTGCGAACCAGCATGATGAGAACTGTATGTTAACTGGGGCTTATGAGGTTGTATGGGGTTTTTCTATTTTCTACCCAAAAAATATAAAATTTTGCTATTTCTTTCTAAGCCACTTGTAGAGCTTAAAAACAATTAATTGGGTTTATTATGCGTTGTGATCTAGTTTAAAAGGAATATGACCTTTCTGTCATGACAGTAGCTGCTTAAATAGTATTTTCTCTAATTGTACCATATTTTACAGCCAAAATGTCGTGTTATTTTCAATAATGTTACTAATTCAGTGCGCCAAAGTCCGTAATATAGGCAGGTGCAAATTATTTGTCAAGATAGGTACCATTTTAGGCAATGTTTCTAAGTTTGGATTTTATTAGACACAATAAGAGCAGATATTTCTACATAAATATTTGATATTTTGTAGAATAATATGATAAAATGTAGGCAAAAGTGGCGAAAAAGGCACACACCAACCCGTACAATAGATATAAGATAGTTCAATAAGAAATAATTTAAGAATTGCTGTGATAAAAGGATTTTCCACTGATTTCGTAATGGAGCGTTATATTGCAAAACATGGCATGATAAAGAAGAAAATCAATTTTAAAATCAGAAAATAACATTGCAAATACTTATTTGGTAGAATTCAACTCCCAATAAATATGTGTTGTTTGAAATACAATTTAAAAATGAACAGCTGTTTCATTAAAAAGTATTATTCTCATGGCCAAAATGTGAACAACTCTGTGGAGGGATCTTTAAAGGCTTCTATACCGACCACACCACCTAACAATTATAACCTAACCTAAGTTTGGACTATGTGTTAGGTTAGGTTAGGAAGACTGCTATTTGAACAACTAATTAAAATCTTATTTGGAAGCCGTTAATATCTCGCTTATTTGATGTCAGACCAAAATAAATATTGAATATTCTTTTTCGCTCGTTATTCCAGTTAATTTGAGTAGGCCTACCACATGACGTGTTGTAAGGCCTTAAAAGTGTCAAGAAAAGTGTTTTTTTTCAAAATTTTCCTCAAGAAAAGAATGCCATTATCGGAATCAGGGTTGAATTTTGAGTGAAATTTCAGAAATCAGTTGCAGACCCTAAAATGCATCTAGTTAGCCTACTAAAAAGACTTAAAATTGAACTTAGGAAAGTTGAATAAAAAATTTTGGTGGTATATTTATTTAAGTTACTACTAGGCCTAATGTTAACATGTTTTACGGTACATTAATGAACAGAATGTTTCCTTCTTACTATGCAAGTCTTAACTAATTTAGATCAAAGTTCATTTTAGAAAGATTGTCAATGATTTTATAACCTAAGTTCAATTTTGGGCTTTTAAAACTTATAAGTTATCTTTAGATATAATTTTGTAAATTATGGTAACGATTTAAAACATTTTTTAACACCCATAAGAAAGAGGATGCGTAAAAGTGTGTTTGAATTGTCTTCTTTAAAATTTCCCAGTCTCTTAAAGATAACTTGATGGTCATCTATTGTTCGTTGATTGTCTAACCTAATTTGAATTTCAATAGGCCTAGAACTTATTTTGCATATTCATCTCGAGCTATAATAAGCAGGCTTTAGTCCAATCTTTTATTGGTTACTGTCTATGGGTGGATCTTCATAAAATCATTAGGTAGCTGAAGTACATAATTATCTTAGTAACTTTGATTTTTATAAAGAATATGGGGAAAATGCAGTCTAGTTCTTCAGTACTGGATGAGCCTAAATACCTAAAAGTCAATGGTGAACAAACTATAGTGAAACACTCAACCTTCCAAAAAGCTGTAGACAACCTATGCCTATTGTTGGGAAGAATCAGAGAACAGGTCATTGCCAGATGCCATTATGCCCTGCAAGTTAACCTATGTAAATAACATTTAACCTGATCTTGATTTACTAATCTTAAATTGATTTGAAAGAGACAATCACTGTGTAACCCAGGTTGTCAAAAACTCAACATTGCCAGGGTATATACCAATCGGGAAAACCGGGAGACCAGGGGAAAAACCCTTAAATTTGAAGGAACTTGGACAAAAATGGGACTTTTGGAGCGATTCCGGGAATTTTATTTTAGCCCCGGTAGAAGATTGCAATTGTAAAACGCGTCTATGAGGTTAGCGCCATAGAAAAATTCACGCATTTGCCCTGTCCGATTGCGGAAGACAGATGACGATTGTGACCGCGGGAAACGAAGATGACGTCTACACGGCCGCAGAAGATTTTCCTGATTTTCCCTTGATTGCGGATGACAATGATGGCATTTCCGTGGCCACGGGAGATGTCTATGATTTTGTCGCGATCGTGGATGACGTTTCTATTACTACGAGAGACGACAATAATGTCTGTTCAAATTGTGAGAGACGTCCAGGAATTTCTCGCGATAGCGTAAGACTGTTATATGTTTCCGTGAGACGACGATAAAGTCTACGTACCACGGGAAATGTCCAGGATTTTGTCACGATTACGGACAACTGTGATGTCGTTTATGTCACCGTGGTAGGTGACTACACATGTCCGCTGGAGATATTCATGATTTAGCCGCACAGATTGTGTTAGTGTCTAAATTCTGGTTTTTTCCTTTTTAGTGAATTTCCCATATAGGGAATAAGCTATTACCGTAGGTCTCATGTTCAGACTGAGGACCGATTTACTTTTTCGTTTTCAGGTCCTCAGAGGCAAAAACATCATCCTTTCTAATTCATATGTACAGGGTGGTTGGTACTTAATGTGACAAAAATTTTTTGGTGTAAGTACAAAGTAAATGAAGTGTGATGATGCATATAAGACGTTCAAAGTATAAAAATTAGCTTCCCAAAGAATTATTTTAAGTTTTCCAAAAATAACTATATATTTAAACTTAATAGAGCAATTTACCAATTACCTGAAAAGGATTTGAGTAGATAATGTCAATTTTGTGTTCTACATTATTAAATTTTGTATAAGAATAATAGAAAACGATGGAGGATCAATAGTAAAACTCCATTGTAAGTAGATCCAAGTATAAAAATTAAGGTGTTGAACAAAAATAAAAAAAACTGGTCTATTTCATTTTTCTATACCCTATATACAAGAAGGTGGTCAAATATGTTAAAACTGTGCCATTTTAAGCTTTCCAACCATATGCAGAAAAAAATTTTGTCACACTGAGTACCGTACCAATTACCCTGTATATACTTATACATGTGTCGGTTAGCACGATAAATCAAACAAAAATTATAAGTTATCCGGTTTTGATGAAATTTGGTATAAGTATGTAGGCTAACCGTACATTTATTCAAAAAAGTTTGCGAACCAGCATGATGAGAACTGTATGTTAACTGGGGCTTATGAGGTTGTATGGGGTTTTTCTATTTTCTACCCAAAAAATATAAAATTTTGCTATTTCTTTCTAAGCCACTTGTAGAGCTTAAAAACAATTAATTGGGTTTATTATGCGTTGTCTTGCGCTTTTAATGGTTTAGAAGAAAATACAAAGCAACCGTAAATTTAAAATTCTCATGTTATTCTTATGGAGAAAAAGTAAACTGTTGTAGGCCTACTGTAGTTTACTTCTTATTGAACATATTTTGATCAAATTTTGAAAATTCATTTGGTACCGTAGCCCTACTGATCTATTAACATTTAACTAAAAACACTTTTATTACCTTCCCTGTAGTAGCAAACTTGAGTACTCATTAATCTAATGTTATTTAAATAGGGAATAAATATGACATTTTTAAGGAGATATTTTACTGAAAATCCAATCAGGCAAATGAAAATTCGCTTAGCCTGCAGGTTTGCTGAGGCTTGGGATTTTTTTGTTTTTAGAGATAGTTGATAGGCCTACAATAACTTGCCGTATCGGTCGAAGCCCAAGGCAGCAATGTTGTGGGTTCAGATCCTGGTACCTATCATTTAGGCCTACTACTTTTTTACCTCAGTACCTACATTTCACTCTTGTAGGCTACTGTACCAGCTCACTCTTTGTTTTGTTGTCCGGAACTTCTTCCACTCACAGGCTGAAGGCCAGTGTGGATAGTCAAATACAAGATAAGAAGATTCAGACTTCCAAGTCATTAGCAACATATGAAAAAATCCCCATATTAACATTAGCTCAGTAGCATTTCAGGGCTTAACTTACTCATCGGAATTTTTTAATATTTCTCTACAGGATAGTACTAACTCTGGTCTTTACCACAAGATAATTCCTTTTGCAGTGTGTAAACTTATTCTTTCTCTCAAGTCCATCATGAAACATTTTTAACTGCTAATCAGATATGAAGACTGTAATTAATTATGTGTCTGAATTTTTTTAGATCCATTCCTCCCCCAGTGATGTGGGCACAGAGGACGAACTGTGTTTTCTTAACAGTTTGTTTGGAAGACTGTAAAACTCCTGAAATCAGATTAGAACCAGAAGCAATATATTTCAAAGGGATCGGAGGAACAGAGAAGAAACTTCATGAACTCACAATACCACTGTTTAAGGAAATTGACCCCGAGGTAAGTTAAGTTACTAGCCTATTTAGATTTTCTTAATCTAATTTTTCTAATAGATCTAATAACGGGGTTACTTGCCAGTACCAATGGAGCAAACTATATTCATCGCTCAACTTCAAACTCTCATTTCATTTCTGCTACAGTTCTTTATTTTAATTACTTGATGTTTCATGTAGATAGGAATAATTAACCTCCATCAGTTTTTTGCCTAGGCTTCTTTGTCGTAGAGTTAGTGTAATCGCCAAATAGCCATCTGGCGAGTCGGTTTTGTAGGCCTATTTAATTGCAGTTGCTGACATGAACATAATGTAATCATTAAACAAAACGGTGTTGACCGTTGATTGAATAAATTTTGAATAAATAAATTTGATTAATCTTGCCATTAACATTTCTTCGCTATTGATTGATTCATTAGTTGGAGCCAAACATAGGATTTGATGTAGTTTCATTCTAATTGAAATTGGTTTGTATTTTTGCGCTCGGTCGTTATAAACCATAAAATATGTCCCACGTAATATTCTGTATTTTTTTTATTAATCTAAGTAGGCCTAATTATTTTATGTTTTGCAGTGAAGCATATCTTCCAAGGACGTTATATTATATTTTTAATTCAGTTCTTTAATCAAACTACCTAATTGTTTACCCTCATTTCTTCTGATACTGGCAAGTGTTATATCTAGGTCAAAATATTTTTCTCATATATTTTAGAGAATGAATAGGCCTACACTGTTGACTCGTTTAGCTTCATCCGATTAATCATATGCCTTGTGTGTAGGCCTACCCTTGTTGTTTGCCTTTTTGTGGGTGTGTATAGTGTACAATAGCCTAACTTGTTATATATAACACACTTTGAGATGATGACAACATGACATAAACAACTGTTTTTGTATTGATTTGTTTATAATTTTACACTTTGCTAAATAATTAAACTTCCTCAAAGCTAGTACCTACTTAAATGAAAAGGCCTGGTTTGCCCTTTTTGTCAATTTAACCATGGACAAAAAGAATTAAATATAGACTGTCAGGCGTGCTGCGGTTACCATGGTTACCATAGGCTCTGGCGCACACCACTGGAGTAGTTTACATAGCGTGTACGCCTTAACTACATGGCGCTCTCAGCGGTATGCGCCAGAACCTATGATAACCGCAGCACAACTGATGGTCTGTTATTAATTCTTTTTTGCTATTTTCTACTTTTTTTTAGAAATCAGCAAAATTTGTAAGGGACAGGAATATTGAAATCATTCTGAAGAAGAAAGAAGAAGGCCCATATTGGCCTCAATTAACAAAGGATAAGAAGAAATACCATTGGCTAAAAGTAGATTTTAACAAATGGAAAGATGAAGACGACAGTGAAGACGAGTTCGGCGGCGGACAACCTGATGATCTTGAAGAAGTAAGTGAAAAGGATTTTGTTAATTATTGTTTATGAAGGAGATATTGTTTGATAACCAAAATGAAGTTTTTTTGGTATTGCTGAAATTCAAAAGCCGGTTTTCAATAGCAAATAAGTGACCTGTTTTGAAAATAAAATATCTTTCAAACTTTACAATATCCAAGTCTGCCACTGGAAACTTTTAACAATTTAGTGAAAATCACATCTGGAAGTTGAAATTGAAGTATGTACTATTTTTAAATTTTAATCTTTCTGGCTTAAGCTTGGTTTCCTAGGCGAGCAGAATGCTGAGAGCAGAGAAGCGATTTTCCGCACGTCCAGTCACGGTTCGCTCTGATTCTAGGAAAACAGTAGCCTACAATTAAATTACCTAAGAAAAGAGAAGAGAGGGGTAGTGGAGTATTTCTCCACACAAATAGCTTTTGTGTATTCTAACATATAGGGACTTTCTTTTGTAATAGGAGGAATCAGTTAATTATTTGCGGGTTGTGCGGCGACTGCGGCTTTTCAAATTAATGATTTTGGCTTTACAAGATTTTGATTGTTTGGTTCTGTGATGCTATATTCTTAAGTAACTATGTCGGTTTTATTTTAGATGATGAGATCCATGGGCGGACTTGGCGGAGGAGATACCAAACCAAACTTTGACGTAGATGTCGAGTCAGACTCAGACGACGAAGATCTACCCGACCTGGAATAAGCCAGTGCCGTCGTGTGCAATACATGAAACTTGACTGACTCCAGCATATATGAACACTCACTCGTGTTGGAAGTATAGTTGCGCCAGGCGATCAATATTTTATTGTATAAATAAGGAGCATTGGACTTGTATCGCAAGTCACATTCTCCACAACAATTATCGTTTTTTACTTTTTTCTATATTGTAAAGCGTTTGTTCTAATTTGCATTTTTTACTGATGTTTTTGGCCATGTATGAATAAGGCCAATTTACTTCGTAAAATTTGTTAGTGTCATCAGTTAGGCCCCATCATTCCACAACTCTGATTGTAAATAAATGTTAATCGATAGTTATTGTTTTATTTCGGCTGTAATACAGTTAAATGCTTATTTATGAACTTGAGCTGCTGTTTTATATTCATGTTAATCAAAGTTTTTGACTGTGTGCATTTGATAGGAATGTACTGCAAACTTTTGTAGAATAAATTATGAATTTCGGATTAGGAAATGGTTTATATTAGTTCAATATAGTTGAGAAATATGTTTGATTTTTGTTTTCAAAGTTTTAATTTTGTGTTTTGACAGATTGCTGATTTTGTGTGGAAATTTACCTGGCTCTGCTAGATTAAATTTGTAAATCATTATCTTGACGTGTGCCTGTATTTTTGTTACACCTAGATTCATAATGCATGTATGATACACAAAACCTTTGATTATATAAGTTTTAAAAGTTCCAGTTACGTTGAGTTACCTCACTAATATTTAGAGTGAACCCAGTTTGACTTAAAAGGTTTGTGAAGTTTATAATGTAGATAATAAGACAGCTTAAATAGCCTCAAACAGCCACATCAGTGACCAATATTTAATTCATAAACTTTTGAATGATATCTCTTTTTTAACTCTTTAGAAATCCACATTAAATAAACTGGTCTTCCAAGCTTATTACATGATAACTCTTAAAAGTAATTTCTGATCTCTTACTCTGTAATAAATACATGGCCAAAACACAACTGATACATCAATATTAAATGATAGCCTCAACGATGCCATCGTTTGATTTGACTTAAAAATTATTTGTTATTACTGTTAAACTCATTTTTGTGGCATTATCCAAATAAAGTAGGTTTCTAGCACGGTCAAAAGTGAGTTTAAAACACATCCTAATTAACATGTAAAGCATTATTCATAGATATCATTTAATGATTTTATTTTCACATTTGTATTTGTTGTAAAATATCTAGACCTAATAAATATATTTGCATCAGTTCATTTAATCTGGATATTTTTTTAAATTTACCTTATTCCCATTACATGACTGCTTTTAGCGAATTTCCCATTTAGGGAATAAGCTATTACCGTAGTACTCATGGTAAGACCTGGACCCGGGACCGATTTACTTTTTTGTTTTGAGGTCCCTAGAGGCCAAAAACACCATATGTTCAAATTCATATATTTATATATATAAATAAAGATTAAACATTAATAAACTTAGTACTCAAGTAAAAATTATTTATTAAAATATTTACTGACTATAGTTATGCCTCTAAGGCCATTTTCAAAGATTTACGTTGGCCACTTTTTCATATTTATATATATACTTACTACTACTTTATATATATATATATGTATGTATGTATATATATTTATATATGTGTCCATTAGTGGGAGAACTCAAGCAAAAATCATCCGATTTTGATGAAATTTTGTACAAACGAGTAAACCTACGTTTATTTGAACGAGTTCGCAAACCAGCATGATTGGACTATGGGAACAGGGGTTTATGGGGTAAAAATTGGTTTTTCCCAATTTTGACACTAAAAATATAAAATTTAGCAATTTCTTTTCAAACCATTGTGTAGAGCTTAAAAAAACAAATAATTTAGTATGTTGTTCGAAGCGTTATTGTGCGCCTAATGGTTACGGAGAAAATTCCTAAAATCGGTCAATTTAAAATTCTCATGTTATTCTTATGAAGAACTAGCTGTTGTACCCGTGCTTTGCAACGGGAAGAGGACACAAAATAGAAACATTTTAATCTTTACATCTGTTGCATATAATATTTACACATCCGCCAACGCATTTAAAAACAAAATTCAACTTTTATGGCCTTAATAGAATCTTCAGTTTCTTCACTCACAATAAATCAATAGCAAAACTAAGTCAGCTGTTATAAACTTTAATAATATTCCTGTGCCTTATTAATACAGTCTTTTGAAATATTAAAGAAACTATATCTATAGGTACTGTACTATAAAAACTTTTAAACAAATAGTTTAGCATTAAAGACAGCAGACAAAACTAATATGATTATCAAAGCATCAAGGACTAAACAATGTAATAGCAAATACAGTAGGCCTATATGTTTCATTGCATCTCTGATTCTACTCTACAAAAATATCAACAAACAACCTGAATATACAAACCAGTTCTTTTAATCAGTACCATTGTCCATTGCCTTTAACATTTTCACACTTACCATTAAGTAAACATAGTAACAGATATTTCATTGATTTTAGAAACGAAAGAACACTGTGTACTGTACTGCTTAGTTTTATGATATTTTTCTTGCTTTAATTTAATCAGTGGTGTGCCAAAACACAAATAATAAATGTATCAAATAAAGTAAATGTGAACTGAAAGCTATGTTAAGATAAAATAAGAGTATTTTGTATTGCCATTTGATAATTAAATATAGTTACACATACACAACAGATTTCCAGAAACAAAAAGCAACGACGTACAATTTAGTTATTGATGATATTCTTTAGTTTAGGTTTAGCAAAACACAATAACTTAATTTACCTAAATATACGTATAAAAAACAATGTGATGTGCAAGTTATGTTAAGTTAATCTAACACATGTTAAGCAGTTAGAATTTATTTAAAGTAGCCTCCAAACTCATACAAAACATCTATGCATTGTAATTTTCATACTGTTTCCATGAAAACATATCAATAACATTATTTTCATAACTTAGACGCTCAGAGCCGGAGTTGATACAGCAACGGTTTTTGATTTTTTTATATAATCATTGACATAGTTTTAGAATAAATAATCCATGATAAAAAGTTAGGTTAAAATTAACCTACCTCATAGTTATGGAAAATATTATATTTAATTTCTTTGTATCAGCTGTCTGAAATTGTGAAATATGCAGTTTAGCAGTTCTTCTTGTTTACATTTAGATGTCAAAGCAAATGTAAACAAACATTGTTAGTGTTCTCATCGCAGCCATGGAGATCAATCAATATTTACTTTTAAAATGTTCACCTCAGAACTTTTAAAGCCAAACGGGCAAAGCCCACGGTCAGTATCGAAGTTTGAATAGTCCTATAATGGTCCTTGGTACGGTAGCTATATTTTTTGTAAAATTTAAGCCCAGTTGGTTCAGTAGTTTTTGCACCTATTAGTAATACACATACAGACACCATTAGATTTTTATATAATAATATAAAAATATAAAATATAAATAAATATAAATATAATAATATATAATAATAGTATAATAGTATTATAGATAAGTAAACTGTTGTAGTTTGCTTGTTTATGAACATATTTTGATCAAATTTGGAAAAAGCATTCATTTCATACTAAACTATTAACATTTTACAAAAAAACACCTTGACTTTTTACCCTCCCTGTTGCAGCAAACCTAAGTACTCGTTAAATTAATGTTATTTAAATAAGGAATAAATGTGACATTTTTAAGGAGACATTTTAGTGCAAGTCCAATCAGGCAAATGGAAATTCGCTTAGTCTACAGGTTTGCTGCGGCGGGGGTATTTGCTTATTCGAGTTTATTGCAGATGAGAATTTTACTTGAATATCCCTGTGTCAGCCAACCTACTTAGTACTTAGTATGCTGAATTGTGGGGCTTATCCAAGAAATTTTTTTTTTATTAAAGAGGTTGGCCGCCTCTTTTAACCTTGCATTTGCCCGTCCACATAGACTACAGATCTGTGCGTGGAACGTATCCAGCAAAGCAAGGGGTGAGCCGGTACAGTACGAAGGTGAACTGTACTGATATGTTTGTGGCAGTGACCAGGACCTGAACCCACGACATTGCTGTCTTGGGCCCAAAGTCTGTGACGCTACCAACTGAGCCACCGACTCATCTGTAACCTGTAAATTGCAGTTGCTAATTGATCTTATCCAAGAAGGTAACTAAATGATGGTCACATTTAGGTCCATTCCTAACAAAAATATAAATGTAGGCTACAACCTCTTTTACCCGCATCCCATTAAACTGAAACCCGGGATAATCAAGACAAAATAAAATCAAGATAAAATTGAAGTCAATTGGGAAAATTATCCAGGTAAAAGGAATCATCCGCCAAGGCATGAGTAGTTGGTCGAGGGTATGTAATGGAGTAGATGACAACGCGTACCTCATACCGTGATGGTAAACAACTATTGATTATTAAGAAATAGATTTCCTGTACAGTTAGTTGTATATTTTGAGCCCACAGCAGTAATTGAAATAAAAGTACAAGACTATTGTTGTTGACCTCTTTCAAACAAAAAAGTCTAAATGCTAACCTTGTACTATCAAAAATGGTTTTCCCTTTTTACGTTGGTAAATCATATTTACTGTACGTAGAAATGCAAAAAAAATCTTACAAAGAACATTAAAGTGTTTAATTTCAGCAAATTTTCTACATAAGAAATGGCTGTAAGTCTCGTGGTAAATAGACAAATTTTTATTTGTTTTCATGTTCCCAGAGGCCAAAAACACCTAATACAGCCAATGGCACCTAAGGGACCTACAGCTTATAGTGGAATCCGAACCACATTTTTGCCTTGTAATTAACAAATTGGTCTAATAATCAGATAGTACTGCGGATGGTCGTACTCATTAGTGCTGACATTAATCCACACCAGGGAATATCGCATCCACAGTGCATGCCTATAAATATCCTATAAGTCAGCGTGATCTGATTGTGGGAACAGTATTTTGTGGTGTAAAAATTTGTTTTCCCATTTTTTACCCTCATAACATAGAATTTTGCAATTTACTTTCCAAACCATTCTGTAGATTTTATTTAAAAAAATAATTCAATTTATTCAAATGTTGCTGTTGGTTACAGAAAACATTCCAAAAAACTGTAAATTATGTAGAATGTAAGTTATTTTTATGGAAAATATATCTAACTTCTGTATTTTGTTTGTTCATGGGTATTTTGATATAATTTGGCAGATTTAGATTGTCCATACTAAAGCTATGAACATACCAATAAAACACTATTACCTCCCTTGTAGCAACAAACCTATGTATTCATAAAACCTTTCTTCAGCAATTTCTTTCTCCCATAACAATTTCATAAGTCACAGACACTAAAACAGTTAATATTTTTCATCTTTGATGTCAAATGGAATTCTTGTGTGGGGAAATTTATGTAGTAGCCTGGTAAAATTAAGTTTCAAAAGAAGGCAGGTAGAATGTGCCAGAGCACACCAAATTCAATTCAATTATCAATTGAAGTCTATGTAAAATTTGTCCAGTATTTTGAGGTATTTAACAACTTGTTAATTTTCAGGAAGGGTTACACAAACCATTAACACCATTAACACGCTGTTGAGCTCAGGTTTTAAAAGCAGGATCAAGTGGAGGGGGTATATTAATTCCCATAAAACCGCTTAAACTTTGAGAACGGAGTATAACAATAGATTAACACGAAGCATTACCTTAATATATTGGACCAGAATTATATATTTCCTGATCATTTTAAAAACATTGCCTATCAACAAAAGTTACAGACTGGTTGGTGGTCAAAACATTTGTTTGGGACAAAACATTAATATATTCAAATGAATTTTCAAGTGAATATTGGGAGGGTTACTATTGAAATTAGCTTTTGAATACAGTAAAACTATCTGACCTCGGCAGGAACGGCCAAAAGGTTGAATATACGGAGCATAACTTGCGGTCTCGTAAATTTTAAATTGCAGAACTGCGATAGTGTAAATCACAATAAGCGTAGTGTATGATATGACAATATCACCTAATACACTGGGGATCAATAGGTCAACCATCGATGTACCGATAACATCGTTTTTGTGGCTAAAACATCGATGTTTTATTCTGATTTTCATCTACTCTCTGTACTGAAACAGCTAATTAACCTAAAACTAATACAATGCAGTCATGGAAAACACCGACATTTCAATACTTTTGGCCAAAATTATCTGTACTCTACCCTACCATAGATGTGAAAAACATCGAACCTAGACTATCGATACTCATTCCTATAATACACTAAGTATCACTGGATTTGTGAGATGTTTAGTAGGACGAAGAAGTATTCCATTTCATTTCAATAATATTGCGGGTTTAAAATCTCGACTTCGCTCTATTTTCAGACTTGGTTTTTTATCAGTAGTTCTTTTAGGCTGGACTTAGCTTGGCTCGAAAATCACAATGCTCGCTCAAGTACGTCTGATCTTGACTCAACCTTTTACAAACACTGCAAAGCAAAAAACTGGACTGAGCAATGCAGACATGAAAATTGCTATGAACCAAAAGATTAATATTCCAGATTACTGAATTATCGAATCACAACCAATAACCATATTGCATAGTATATTCAATTGTAGTAGGCTAAATGCTTTTACAATTTAATCTTACACAAAAGGAAAATGTGTTAACAGACAAGAAAGAAATCTCAGGTGAAAATAAAGGGAAAAATCTATAAAGAACACTGCTTTAATAGCTCAACTTTTCGACAACAGTGAACACACACGGATAATATAACCATTACATTGATGGCAAAACAAACCGATGTCCTTTAAGTTACACTTGAACAAGCTCACAGTTTCATTAACAGGAATTTTACAGTTACACCTTCAAGACGACATTCTGACAACGTCTACAACATTCCACACTCAGATCAGGAAGACGACCCATATAAAACTAATGTATTTGTAAAATATGTTTTCTTTTAAAACATCTTGTCCAAGGAACATAATGTTTTACCACTCAGCTCAACACATTTAAACCTGAATTTAAAAAAAGAACTAAAATGAAAATTGTTTAAACCTGCTATTAATAATTGAGAGATAAATCTATTTCATTTTACAGAATAATAATTCAATTAGATATTTTTTTCATACTGCAGCAAACACAGCTGTTTTTAATACATGTGTTGCGGAAGTGTAGAAAGACTAAAAAGCATTTTTAGTTCCTATCGAGTAAAAGTCAGCTGTTGTAAAAAAAACAGTTGTAAACTTCGATTGTAGGCAATCACATGTATCAAAATTATTTATCGATTGGTTTAATCGGTTGTGGCTTATTGTTGCATTCTTGTCAATAGTTTGGACATATCGATGGTACAGTATAATGTGCAGAAACACAATCGTAAAAGACAGAATGGTGAATCAATTACTAAACAGCTGCTTATTTACTTGAGCAAAATTGAAAAAAAAAGTTGGGAGTCATTTTAAGTGGTTATCTTTACGTGGATAGTATTTTCGTTTTCTAACTTGGTTTGTTAATTAATGCTGCATTATAACAAAAAAAAATAATTCATCATATGGATAAAAAAGTGTCTTTTTCAACTCTCGCTCATTTTCTGTATAACTTAAGCTCGGGTCAAAAAGGAATCACTTTACGCCCTAATGATTAAATATACTAATATATATCTCAATACTGTACACACAAAAAAGGGTTTTTGCCAACAGGTTAAGCATGTAAAAAAAAGTGTTTTTATCGCTTCAAAAATGTTCAATAAAATCCAAAACCTAACAATTAAACTAAAAAACTATACACCATCATACAACTTTGATAGGCCGTACATAAAATTACAATATACACATGGAAAAAACACATAACAGTTATCATTTAAGGATATTTTAATAATAATCTGTTAATAATTATTAAAATTAACATAACTTAAAGATAAATTATGATTCAATTTTTCAGTCAGGAATAAACACAAATTACATATACTTTTATAAAAATTGTGTCCAGCCCCTCATATCAAACAAAAGAACTTGTTCGGTTAGAAGATGAAAAAATTAAATGGAGAACATAATAACTTTTGACAGGAGCAAAAAAAAAACAGATTAAGGTATGTAATAAACTCATTTGGTGTAAGACAAATGCAATATTTATCATAACTTATAAGATTGATTGGATTGGTGATATTTCAAATGATAAATCGGAGATAATGACTCATTGCCAAAAAGAGTCTGATATTCCAATGAGTCAGTTATCCTGTGTATGATATTAGAAGTGTTGCATCTTATTCGTACACTGACATTGATTCGAGAGTTTACATTTTTTTAATCATACATCTCATTCATTTACACTTCAATCTATGACACATTGATTCAATTGATATTTTCGAGTACAGATAAAACTTCAGGATCTGAATTCAATTGTGTTTTTGACTATTTTTTGACACAGTTTTTAAAAGTTCAAAGACACCAAAAGCAGGTGTGCAAAATAAATGAATAATAAGCTAGTACAAGTACAAGTGAACCTAATAAATGAAATTTTAATAGACAGAAAAGGTTGTATATTTTGTCTTTACAAATTAAATTCCAATTCCGGTGGAGATTCTCCCCGACTATATGAAGACACATTTTAATGCTAGAAACCCAAAACGATGTTTGTAAATCGTGACTAAAACTTATTTTAACAATTCGTTTGATGATCACACAACCAACTGTTACATAATATGAAAAAACGTGGGCTTGAGTTTTAACAAAAATAATTATACAGTATTTTTAAGAGAGCGTGGAATGGTAACGATTTTTTTCACCTATTAACAATAAAAACCAGGCATTAAAGATAACAGTTATGCTTACACACCATTTAGTAACATTTCCCTTTAAAACCCATTAAAAACAAGAAATATAACAGAAGACATTAGATCGAGTATTGCAATAAGGAATGTAACGTAACACGATGAATAAACTTTACTGTGCATAAAATGGATATAAACATAAGTACACAAATAAACTAGCTATAATGTATTCAATTATAATAGCAAATTATTAAAATTTACTAGCTTACAAAACAGTTTTTATAACAAAAAAAGGTTTTGTTCCAATTTTGTTGAATATGAACATCTTAACATCATAGGCCTAATCATAGTTGTGACATTTTTTCCACACAAAATTGAGCTGAAAGGCAAAGCTCAACAAACTAGTACATGTTTACAATATAATGTATGTAGGACATAATAACTATCCTTTCTGCTACCTACTTAATTTGTATGGATGATAATTATAAGTTAAGAAAATCCTGCTCTTATTAGTATACAATTTAACTTTTGTGAAGTATTTAAATTTTTATCTTATTGAGGATGGCCAATAATTGTTAATATAGCCTACAGGAATTTCTGGATGAGGCGTATATGATACTTTTCGCTACAGCACCAGCAACAGGGTTAAACATTACCAATACCATCAATACAAGGTTACTGGATCGATCCTGAGAAAAGTGAGTAGCTTTTTGATAGATTGAAACTGGAACCAGCTGTCACTGATCTGGCTTAAAAAAATTGATCCTGACTGACTAATAAATAATAATACAGCTGATCTTTTGTCAGTAACAAAGCTAGGTCATCACACACCATTCTACACTCATCCTTCACTCATATTTGGGTTAAGATACGCATATAGGTGGTGTCCCTATCTCAATTGATAGTAATACAAAAAAAATGTTCTAATTTTGTTAAAAAGGTAACATTTTACAATATTTACTATGGAAGTCCAATGTGCCAAATCTGATTAGTATTTATTGTATAGCTTCATTGAGAGCATTCTGAAGAAACCAATACAATTCCTTTTTGAACAATTGCCCTGTAAATGTGCTCGGTAAATTTACAGCCCTCCAGCTGATTTTACCTATTCCTTTCTGTAAACAACTGTCTTGTCAAAAAATCCAGAACTGTTTACTGTGTAGAATGGCAAAATATCAATTTATAGTTCCTTTATAAGGAGTTTTCATGCAAATTTAAAAGTAAACAAATACTCTCATCTATAGACCTAAGTTTTAGTATTTTTATAAAACGTCTTGAGATATTTTTTAAAAACCTATAAAAAAATTAAAAATCTGTAAATATATATTTCACTATCGGATAAAATATAAAAATATACATCCTTAAAAATTTAATATAAACAATATTTGCAAAAATGGTTTATTACAACAATGTTAAATACCATATTGTAATTATTTAACCTACATAGCTGCAGCAGGAGTTGGTTTTTCGAGCAGTCTTGTAGAACGCCTTCGACTGCATACTCAGTCCTTCCGATTTGGAAACCAAATCATCAAGCTTTTCCCCCCTCTCCAGAACTGCCTCTATTGTGTTATGCTGTAAAAAATATAAATAATGAACAATCAAAATAATAATGAATATCCACTGTTATTGAATCTTTTAAAAATTGATTTTATATTGTTGCTTTTTACCATCACTGGTTTTTCCCACAAGTCAAACAAGACTACTTTTTTTCAATGTGTATCAGTTTGAAGTGGTGCATTTTTATGTCCTTGGAGTATGGAATTTCACACTCCACTTGTCCAATACAAAAAAAGCGCAAACAATGGTCTATGATTATATTTCTATGACGATTTTGTTTTGACAAGTTATTTAACTGTCATGCACAATAATTTTATATAAAAAATACTCTCATAAATAAAAAGACTTTGGTTTCACATTAGTTTCATAGAACGCCCTGTACATAACCACTGCCTGGGTAGCTGAGTGGTCATGCTCGCCTAACAATTAAAAAGTTGCTGGATCGATCATGATGAGAAAAGTCAGTAGCTAAGATAGATCAAAACTGGACCCAGCTGTCCCTGATTATTGGGGTCGGCCTAAATAACTTAAATGATCCTCGCTAATAAAACAGCTGATCTCAGTCTGTAACAATGCCACACAGATCTCGCTCCACCTTCACTTGTATTTGGTTTGTCCTCAGCTCTATTCATAGTGATGCATTTAACAGCTCAGTTCAATTTACTAATTTCAAATGAATGCTTCAAATCTATAGTTTCAGATGCATTGTGCTCAGACTGGTAACTAAACAGCCAACTAATGTGCTTAGAAATACATTTTAAGAAAAGTTTATGAACTCACTAAAATAATCTTAGTCTCATCCAGTTCGTCTTGGATCTTGGTCATAGCATCAGCTTCTCTGGGGTTCTGGTATTTAGAGAGGTACGTGTTCAGTTGCGGGAAAGCGATGGTAGCTTCGTTAGCCGTGGGCCACTCGTGAGATGGCACCTTGGCCGCAAAGTCGTCCAGCACTTTAGTCAACAAGGTGTGGGCAACTCTGTGAGGATATTCATGATCTGATAAAAGAACCCCAGCCAGGTTATCGCCTCGGACATACACGTGACATGTATATTCTGGAACACATATATACCAACCGGTTTATGAACATGTCAAGTGTTGGTAAAAAATCCCTATGTACTCCCAAGAGCACACATGTTATGAAAACTGAAGCAAAACACCACTTCAGATTTTTTTCAAAGCAATTATCAATAGCCTCCTATTTCAATTGATTTGGGTAGCCTAGTTAGTACACAAGTCCCACATCATATTAAACGTTCAAAACTCACCTTTAAAATGTCATCTGTATACATTAAACGTTCAAAAATCACCTTTAAAATGTCATTTGTATTTAACTTTCTTAAATGATTTTTGCCATGCAGAGACTTCATTAGATCAATATTTAAAACACATGAGTAAAACTCTTACACTCACTTGGGGACACGGGAATAAGATATTTACAAGGTGGGTAAAATATAGAGAGAAAAGAGTAATTTGCCAGAGGGAAAGGGTAATTTATGGGAGTAAACTTAGGCCTACAGGATATTTGTTTCTGGTAAATGGAACATTTCTCTGAAAATAGTGATATTAAATAGTGAATAGCAAATTAAATTTTAATGGGTTTTACTGTGGAAGTAATTTGATTACCTATTAAATCAGAATAAAGTGTGATCAGAATAAAGGAAGACATTTTTTTACCAGGAATAATTTGTTGTTGTAGTAGGGGCCTAAGGTATAATTTAATCGCGTCACATGACTAAATTGAAACATTATTATTGGTCTCTATGATTTCTTTGTACATACAACTTCCTCCTTGTTAGTTTTCAGTTTGGGAGTTGAAATGGCAAACGTAACTTAGTAGGCCTACTTACATCGCGACTGCAATAATTGTGTCTTATAATGCCATTATTATGTAGGGCCTACATGTATGCGTTATTCGGACATAATTGCCTTTCTTGTCAACTGAACTTCAAGCACGGAGTGCTTGATTGTCAAATTGCTTGCATTAGATTTATGGAAATATATGTTCACTGAAGGCTGCTTGATGAGGAACAAAGAAAACCTTTTGTTTCGTAGTTAGTAAACAAAAGAGAAAACAGTGCTTGTAGCTTTTGCGATTCCTGGAGTATGAAATTGTGTAAGAATTTTGAGTGAAGTTGCTGTTTGATATTCAAGTACTTATTAGAGAAAGTTTGGTTGGGTTAGGTAAATCTATTTTCCAGTTAATATTTTGGTAGATTTTTCTTTTACTACAGATTATGAGCATCAAATACTTAATTAAACACTTTTTACACAATTTCATACTTTTCAGAAATCACGATTTGGAAGACATGGCCACGAGTGTAGTTGTGCCAAGATTTTCTTAAACCAACTTTGTATGGTTAGGAGGGCCTAAGTTACTGTGTTACGCTCATAAACTAGCACACATGACCCACATTGTTCATAGTAGGCAGGCATTAGGCAACATAAAAAACAAAACACAAGCCGATTATTCTGTTGCTATTTATTAAGTATATTTTATTGGTGATTTCCCTTATCAAGTTATTATAACAGTTGTGGAGCCTAGGCATAATATTTGGTTTGAAAATATAACCTTATCCACTCGTTAAAACTTGATGCATAAACTTTTGATGCAGAAATGTACCTAGCTGAAGATACATACCGTACCCTAATTAAACTGGTATTTAGCTTCAGGCCTCTTGTAAGAGTTTCTCTTTTACAAATTAAATTAGGCTAATTAACTTGTAAGTTATAGGATCAATTTTGAAATGATAAGTTCCTTTCTAAACTCAATTCCACGTTAATCGTGCAGTACAGGTCTTATGGGAGATAGTCGTGCTATTTGGGTTATAATGTGTCACGCACCTAGTGGCGTCCACATCTGAAATAAGTTAGGCCTAATTGATATTGATTCATTTTCACATTATGTAGCCTACTCGAAACATCAGGCTTAACTTATTGCTGTGCAAGCTGCGTTACTACTGTCCTTGTGAAGTAACAAAAGTAGGCCTACATTTAACTTGTATTTAGATTTTATTTTTTAATTGATAATTTTTCTCTGGTAAAGTTGATAAGGTACTTTCCTGTTAAAGGGAATATTCATTATTATCGATGATTTTTTTTATAGACAGTCAATGTAGTACAGTCCTAGATATTTGTCGATGTGTGGTTTACGTTTTTGTGTTTATCTTACATAAGATTAGGCTAGATGAATATAAGTTCAGAAATTTTTTATCAATAACATACAACATAGCCTATAGCCTAGCCTAGGCCTAATAAAACTAAAGAGAACATGTTTCAGTCATCCCATAAGCTAAGACCTACCGTGGAATAGCGTATGACAGATTACTAACCTCCTTCCTTTACCGACTGTCTGGCTGCCGTTTGAGTCCTTTCGACTATTGTTTTGCTAACAAATCCCATAAATTCTTGAACACTTCCTCTTTGAAAGAATCCAAATGTTGACAAGTCATAAGATGATTTTAGCCATACTGCATTATGGACTCCCTTGAATAGAACGTTTAATGCATAAAGTTTAACCATCTCGTGTTTTATTAAACTAAGTAAAACGCAAAACTTAAATCAGACAATTAGAAAATAGACACAAGATGTTGGTTGGAACTTCCTTAGTTAAGTTAGCCTAGGCCAATGTCAATACAAATACAAAACAGTTAATAAATAAAGTATCACAGTTCCAAGGAGTTTCAGTTCTGACTGCAATCAAGTTAAAACCAAATTATTTTAACTATTCTTTGACTATACAATTAGAAAGTTTGTGATTATATTCTAAATTTGATATATGACAAGTAGGTTACTAACAAACAATACTAAACACCAAAACGTCAGTCTGCTGTGCTTAGCTTTTTTTAATCTTTCGCAGATCACAGAAAACTGACAGAACATTATGTGATAGATCACGACAAAGGCCATTGATTATAACCATGCAACACCCATGAAAGGATGTAGCCAATGCTAAACATATGGTTTTAAAATGCACTTAAAAATAAATATGATGAGAGGTTTGCTCACCATGAAGTTTGTCCGTCTAAAACGCCTCATGCCTGTGCGCGTCACTTTATCATCTTATATAATTCCTATTTAAAAAAGTTTTAATGGTAAATTTATGTAGCCTAGGGCAACTTTTACATTGCGCTAATATCAACTAAATAAATATTTATATTTTATTTTAGTCGTTTATGTTGGTTTCTAAACCTTAGAAGATATTCAAATGATATCAATGAGGATGGCAAATCCAGGAAGTACTTCCATCTTCCATTTGGAAGGTATGGGCAGAATGGGCCATAGCATTTTTGGGGGGCCCCGAATTTCCAAAAAAACGTTTTATGATGTTATAATTTTAATCAATTTGATCATCCTAATATGTACTTACCATTCTGGGGTCAGTAACAGTAGAGCTACACAAAGATCACCTCACTCGATTTTCTCTCTGCATATTCTACTCACCTTTAAAACATGCATCCGAATATGCTTCGCTCTAAAAGAGTTGGATATTTTTAAAATGTCAACTGAGTTTTTCTTTTAAAAAGTCAGTGTACATTATTGACCCACTTTCTATAATTATTCTGATGTAAGCTAAAAGGTGCTGCGGATCTGCAAAAAAACACAAAAAACAGACAGAACTCTGAACTATGCTGTCTAAAAAGTTCCCAACAGTAATGTCTAGTTAAAAGTAACCAAATCAAATCATACAACATTACTCTAACTTTTTAATGATGCCAGTTTTTTAATGTCAACTTATGTTTTCAACAATCTGACACACACATCCTGATTTTTTTATGAACCATTCATGGGCAATAGGTGAGTGAAAATGTAAAAACATGCGTTTTCAAGAAAAGCACTTATTTATAAAACATTTTTTCGAAAAGTTTTATTTTATTTAATTGACATTTGAAGTTACATCAAATGTCTATGGTCACAATATTTAGGTGGTTTTTAATACATAATCTTTAACGGAAAAACATGAAATTCTTTCACGACCATTACGGACGTAAAAATGAATATAACAGCTAGAGTTAATATTTTTTATAAATATGTTTTGCTGTAAATGCATTAGGTTTAAGGGCCATTTCGCAATAAACAGCTCACTAAGCCTTTGGTAAATTTGATCTTTCTAAAAAAAATCTATAAACTATAAAAAATGGAAAAAAATCTAAAAAATATCTTTAAGTTTGTATAACTCTGAACAAACGTTCCCGATATTTGGAAACCCTTTAACATTTTTTTAAAGAGGCGTCCTTCTTGTATGTATAACACATTAGAATAATGATGATATATCAATTTTTGAATTTTTTTTTATCCAAATCATGAACGTCATGGTCAGAGACAAGTGTTACGGTCTGGAATTGGTGATTAACGAGAATCACTATATTGTTTATTTATGTTTTAATTCCATTCCACTACTCTTGTTCTCCTAATATTCCACAAGACTATTTTTTACATTCTTAAATTAATTGTACTTGCTTTTAAAAATGTGTTTTTAAACTAAACTAAACTGTGCAAATTCACAATGATATTTAAATTCATTTTTACGACCATAACACAATAACACAGTAGAGTTAGTTGATAAGGCTATTTTGGTTGTGAAAACCTCCGTAATGGTCTTGATACTCCAAAGTCGTGAAATCACGTATTATTTGGCTATTATTATTCCAAGCGTGAAAGTAAAAATGTAAAAATGGGACACGTGATGGTCGTGCATTTCGAGACTTTAAAAATACTAAAAATAAATACCTTGAACCTAGTAAAAACCAAAATAAATGTTTGTAACATGTTGCCCATGTCCCAAAAAATACTACACAGTATCTACAAAATAAAAGGCCAGGGATATTAAAACGTAGGTTTCAAAATTTTTACTCAGGTCTGCCCTTTTAGATAAGTTGGCAACTATATTATAAACTATGCCATATTTTTATGTCTTTATTACCCATCGTTATAAAAAAAAGGTCAAATAAAGCTTCCATACCGGTACTAGCACAATATGCGATCAACTATTTTTTCTTTGAGTAAAAAAAGATTCCAATTGGTTTATTTTGAAAAAAGGGTTCAGTATAAAAAAAATCAGCAGTTAACTAATAGCACAAATAGTAATTACCTACCCTCTAGGGGCTTAACACTTGCCAGTTTTTCACCTCCCAGGAAGAGGCTACTTCCAGAGCCGAGAATATGCCTCGCAAAATGTCAGTCGTACACAACAGGCAGGACAAAGCCCAAAGAACCACAGCCACAAGCATATGAGAAACCAAGGTCTCGCAGAGCTGAACACCCCCCATCCTGGATAGAGGAGTATCACTGGGTACTCTCACTCTGGGTACCACCCCAAGAGGCTGGCATGTCCAGTCGTCCATAACTGCGGCCCTCCTGAAGTGCCGGTTCCAACACCGGACAATTACCTTCCCTGTGGGGGCACTAAAAACATCCCCACTACACATAATAACTTTCAAAAATATGCACTTTACGTATAGCGAATATGACAAAACTGAGGCCGATAGGGATCGAGTTAAAGGTGGCCGTGATAGGTGATAGGGTGCCAAAGGTGCAACAACTTGTCTGGGCAGCCGTTTACACGCACCAACATGTTGGTACGACCTCGAGAAATTGATGGCATCTTGCACCAACCTTTCAATCCGACTCCAGTTCCAACAAGATGTAATTAATGTTTTTTTGTTTTTTGATACATTGATTGCTAAAATGTTGACATAATATTGTGCTACGTTAAAACAGGTGCAATTGTATATACATAGGAGGCTGTCAATTGATTGTTACATAAATCCAGTCATTTTGAGAGAAATATGGAAATATAAACATGTTATAAGTAGTGATCCTCAATTGATTGTTTATTCCATGATAAAAGAGGATACCCCCGCCGCAGCAAACCTGCAGACTAAGCGAATTTCTATTTGCCCGACTGGATTTACACTAAAATGTCTCCTTAAAAATATCACATTTATTCCCTATTTAAATAACATTATTTTAACGAGTACTTAGGTTTGCTGCAACAGGGAGGGTAAAAAGGTATTTTTTTTGTAAAATGTAATAGTTTAGTATGAAATGAATGCATTTTCCAAATTTGATCAAAATATGTTCATAAACAAGCAAACTACAACAGTTGACCTATTCTCCATAAGAATAACGTGGGAATTTTAAATTTACAGATTTTTTGAATTTTCTCCGTAACCATTAGGCGCATAATAACGCTTCATTATACTAAGTTATTTTTTTTAAGCTCTACAAAATGGTATGGAAAGAAATTGCTAAATTTTAAGTTTTGAGGGTCAAAAATGGGAAAAACCAACTTTTACCCCATAAAACCCCCCATAAACCCCTGTTCCGTAGGTTGTAGGTTTACACGTTTGTACCAAATTTCATCAAAATCGGATGATTTTCGCTCGAGTTATCGCGCTAACGGACTCATACATATATATATATATATATATATATATATATATATATATATATATATATATATATATATATATGTATTGAACGGATGGTATTTTTAATCTCTAGGGACCTCAAAACGAAAAAGTAAATCGGTCCCGGGTCCAGGTCTTACCATGAGTACTAGGGTAATAGCTTATTCCCTATAGGGGAAATTTGCTAATAAAAACTAATTAAGTAAAACCATTGGTAAAACTGTAAAAACCTTCTTTTTTATTTTGAATGTTAACTTCAGATGAGAATGTTTAAACATTTACAATATGAGTTATGTTTTTGCCCATTAACATCAAAAAATTTTAAATGATAAAATAATACCAACAATAGGTCATCACAAATTAAAACCAACACACTTATATCATAAGGTACTCAGGGTTAATAAAAGAAAACATCATACAAAACTACAATCTATTTGGGAAACATTTGTCAATTAGAAAAAGTGTTCAGTTAGAGGTTTGATTTGGCGCTGCGCAGAATGGGGAACTTTGTACCATCGCAGGCACCTCTGGCATCATCCAGGGACAGGTCTACAAGCACAACTCCTCCTAGTCCCTTGGCTTTGGCGTAGGCTGACTTATAGGCTGCAGTCTCGGGCTCCTCGTAAGACAACCAGAATCCTTCCTCCTCACCCTAAAAAATGGAAAATCAACATTAAGGATTTCACCAGGAGAAATTATCGTTAAGCCCTGTTTTATTTCCTTAGAGATTGATTAGGGAGATTTGAGATTAGAGATTTTTTATGGCACGGATGCACCAGAGTGGAAATTAAATGGCCAAGATAAGTGAACAATGAGTGTGTTGAATGAATAACTGAATAAGATTATAGCTTTATAACTGACTAAGATTATCTGTATATTATTCATGACCAACTACTATTATTCATCAAGAATAGCTACGTCCACTTTCAAAATTTAAAAAAATAGTTCCTCAGGATCAAACCGTTAACCTTCTGATGACAAGGCGAACACTAGCACTATATCCACTCAGCTACCCAGATTAAAAAAGCTTAGAAATTGTAGTCTTTGTTTATGGATATCAGTAGACTAAACATCTCATGTTAATGCCACCTGGGTAGCTGTGTTTTTATAGTGCATGCAAAAAAAAAGAATAAGTTCACCAGCTCAATCCATATGAAGTCAGTAGCTTTTTAATGGACATAAAACTGGACACAGCGCTGTCCTTGTTCATTGGGCTTATAGTTAATGGTGCTGGTAAAAGAAACAGCTGATCCTTTTTAGTAACAAAAGCTTGTCACTTTTATCCAACTGAAATTACATACTTGCATTGCTGTCTGAAAATAATAATAAACCCTACTGAAGTTATGAAATTTAAAATAAATTAATCAAACCCACAACCTTTGGATTCGCCAGGTGAGCACTAAAGCTAATCAGCTACCCAGTAAGATATAGGCTAAATTAATTGATATAAATTCAGATTGAAAACATTAAAAGAGAACTGACCTTATCCTTCTGGGGCAGCCTGTAGGCGTATGTGCCGAGTCTCTTAGTGGGGTCTGTCATACGGCGCAGCAGTGTTGCGGGAGCCTTAGAGTTTGTGGGACTGACGACTCTGGTGCAGGTCTCGTAGTAGCCCAGGGTTCCCTTGATCTTAGAGTACGTTCCTTCGTCACCAGCACCATCAGCGAGGATTGGCGGAACACCGGAGCTTGGGCTGTCTGTTGTCAGCTTCCATGAGCGGCCAAAAGTGGGGATTCCGAGGTTGATCTTTGAAGCTGAAACGGTTTGAAGATAAGTATTGGTTGATGTTAGATAAGGGAGTCAGGAAGGAGCAGTTTGAATTCTGTGCTTTTAGTTTTACAATCTTATAGATATTTTTTGTGGGATGAACGGAAAACGACATCTGGGTGCTGAATTGATCTTGATATATATGTTTAAATGTAAACTTCTGCAAATTGTTTATTTTACAACACATAAGATTAGCACATTGCTGATGATATAGAAAATGTTAAGGACTGAATCTTTATAAAAATATAACCAAACAGCATGTATCAGTATAACACTGAAAACAATCTGATGAAATCAACTTAAAATATAACAGATTGATTAACTACAACTTATTTCTGTTAGTTAACTGTTTCACTGTTGCCTTAGTCTGTATGTGTCTGTCTATGTCTCTGTATGTGTCTAAATTAGATTTCATCAAAATGAATTTTATTTTATTAGCCTTCCAAGAAAGGTTTTTGACTGAATATATATAGGTTTTTTACTATATAGTTAGATATTTCAATGGACTGATGACTAACTTATTAGCTTTTCTTAAATATAGAAACTCAAAGTAAATATGTATTGTTCTCACATGGAAAGCATGTAAATAAACTCACTTCATTAGTGTCTGTCCTGAGACTATACAGGGTGCAAATATAAGTAAAATAATGGAGACTCTTCTAGTTTACTTTTTTATATAAACCTTGTATACAAAGATATGATTGACATACCGTCACATCCGTTCTCCATCCACCACTTGACGTGGGCGTCTGCGTTCTGGTGTTGGTTTCTGTCGTACATGTAGTACAGAGGGGCGGAGTAGTCAGCCTGAGGCTTGCTTCTCTTCGGTGTGCGGAAGTCGAACGTCCACAGATTCAACATGTCCAACTGCGGGCAGAGATTGCGGGCATCGAAGTAGGCTGGGGATAAAATAAATGTTTAGTAATTCAATTTTCAGAATATTTTCAAAAATTTAATTTACCTGACAATGTTCTATGAAGATATTGATGCTGTGTACATAACTAATACCAGCAAGTTGTAAATCCCTCTTGCCACTCTAATTAACACAATCTAAAAGAGGTTGAGTCCCAGCAATGGAAGAGTAGTTCATTTTGTATAGCAAAACAGCTGATTATTGTAAACGTGAGACCACAGTGAGGAATAGTTTGAGATTATTACATACCTCCACAACTCTCTAACTACAGATTTTAGTGGAGTTATAATAGTCAAGTAACATTAAACTGATAATTCAACTCACCACTGGCATTCACATGGGGCAAAACTCCGAGAGACAGAAGCTTTCCGTCGGTGCGAAGAGCTCCCTTAAGCTCCCGGACGAGGTTGACAAACTGATCTCTGTGTTCCGCCCACTTGTCGTCCACACCAACTCCAACAGCCTTCTTCAGACCATGCCAAGCCGAACCTGACAAGAGGACAAATAGTTTAGACAAAAGCTTTCGTAGTGTGAATGAACGTAGATATCCCGTTTCTATATTATTGAAGCTGTAGCCAGTTCTAGGAACAAATAATGTATTTGAGATTCCAAGAGAGTACATGCTGGTGTCAATTACTGATTTATTTTGTCACTAACTTTTTAACCCAGAAATCTTAAACAAAAACTAGCTGCATTGAAATAATATAGCTTTGTTTATGTCCCCGTAAACTATCACGGTATTAATAAAAAGGTTAAATACCTGTAGTACTGTCTGTGATCCTGGAATTTAGGTCAGCGACCCAGGTTTATCACAGTATTGAAAATAAGAGTGAAGATAGTTTTGACAATAGCACACTCTAAGATGAGGAACTAATCATTTAACACAAACTTTGATACAGCTGCTCCTCATAGATGGATTGTCTATGCTAAGTACATATAAACACTGAGTTTTTTAAATATTTGTTTATTTAAGTATTCGTTCCCCTTCACGTCACATTTCCACATAGTAAAATAAAAGTTTCATAGCTTGATGGAAAGTTATGGAAACAATAATTTAAATAGATAACTAACTCCAAGACCCCTTGAAGATGCTTCAAAAGCTGGCAAAATGTATATAAGGTGCCAATGAAAAGGGTAATACGGTAACTAATATAATTCAAGTTCATAAACCTATAGCCGAAAATAGATATACTTGACTTGATAACCATCATAAACCTTAAACAAAAGAATTTATTCAAGGATGTTGTCATTTTAACTTACTGAGAATGTTTCTGTCCTTCTTTTCCTTGACTTCTGGGAATCTCCAAGCGAGGTCTACTCCGTCGAAGTTGAACTGGTTCAGTGTAGCGTGAACAGAGTTGACAAACTTGGTTCTCTTCTCAATGTCTTCCAACTGAACAATAAACCATTTATGTAGTGGGAAATTTTTTAATTTGCAAAGTATATCTAAATCCCGTAAATAGTTCAATGTCTTAACTTTGCATTTTCCCGGTCTGGGGGGATTTATCCAGCAAAGCAAGGGGTGAACGGTACAAGAGTTGAACTGTTTTGATAGAATGTACTGTAGTGGTAGGTACCGCAGTATCCAAACCCACTATATTTCTGCCATGGACCCGAAGTTTGTCGTGCTACTGACTCACCTATTATGTTTGAATTTTTCAGTTGATTGAATAAATATTTAAGTTGGTAGTTTTTTTTAAACTTAGAGATTAACATTTTACTTTGATGAGAGACATTTGACACTTAGTATTAGAAAATTGAAAGGTTATTAGAATCCTTGAATTTGAATTTTTGGATTCACTGAATTACATAATGCTCCTGAACCCTGAAGTAGATACAAAAAATAATAGATTAGCTCCGATGCAAAGAGGTTTATTTGCCTTTTGACCAGATGGTTTCTGGTTCGATAAACCAATGTTGGAATATTTTTTTATTTTGATATTGGACTCAGTATACTGATTACTGAAGTAAACATACCAACATATCCAAACCATACCAGCTGTGCCCAGATTTTTTATTAAAAAAGAACATACAGTTGAATTAATTGGCCTCTCAGAAGGGTGTGCTTCTGTTGGAATTATATTGTATTTGATATAGTTTTTACTTTAAAGTTTGTGAGATAAAATATGTTACAATTAACGATGATTTTCCCTCTACAGTTTGGCAATATTACTAAGTTAATAAGTTTACAAGAAAAGAGAGTATTTTATGGGAGCACACTCTTTTAAAGTTTCTAACTAAACTACTAATGAAGTTTGCAGACTTTACCAATGAGCAAATTGTCTACTTTAAGGTTCATCCAAAGCCAAAAGCTTACATTCAATTATACTAAATTCTTTTCATCCTAAAATTTCCCATATTTTACTGTGTGCCTCTTAGGCTTATACATATAGCCAAATTATTATCTTGGACGACTTTTTTCAATACCAATAGTTAATTGTGTAAATCTGTTTATTGAATCTGACTTTCTCCTCTTCCTTATCTAAACTGGTAAGTTACTGTGTTCTAGAAATTGTATCAGCAGTCAGTGGAATCAGCCATGTTCCACAAACCTTATCTACTGCACCAATAGCCTCTGACACATCTCTTATCTGACCTTGTTTAACTTAACTTTCAAAGCAAATGTTTTTGTGATTTCTAAATACTAATATCTTGTTGTATTGCTTTACAATTAAATAGTACATTTATGGGATGAAAGCACCAGCGAATGAAAGTTTAAGCATGAGTTTCCTCTTTTGTATCCATTATGGTAAATTGTTATCATAGCTACAGTGTAAATAATAGTTTCAAAGTCTTGTCAATATTTTCATGTACTTCCTAACAATAAAACTGAATGTACTATGTTCATAGACAATTTATCATACATAAAGCATTGCACTGGTTAATGACCGCATATGATTTAATATTTTAAAATTGTATGTACCTCCCTCCTTTTTGCCAAATAACCCGATTCTCAAATTGAAACTGGAGACTCTGTATAAAATAAATAACTATTTCAGGATCATCCCAATAGCTTCTAGAGAATTAAATACTTTGACCGTAACCTTAAATCTGCGGTCGAATTCTGGTTATAGTGTATCCACATGATTTAATTCTGATGAGATGTGGTACATCCTAGGCTTCCTAGCACAAAAACATCAGTGTTTTATCCAGAGGCTAAACATGTTTTTTTTTTTTTTACAGAAAACATTGTTCTCAAAACTTCGAAAGAAAATTTACCCATATCTAGTTATAATGACCAAATGGTCGTTCACTGGCTAGTGGCTATACTCCAAGTTGAGATTCAGCAAATAGCCGACAGTTATACTGTAGAAACTCACCACTTCCAGGTACTTCTCCAAGTCATCAGTGTCTCCAAAGCCTCCGATGGACAGAAGGACTTTAAGTCCAGCATTGAAGGTCTTCAGCCCTGTCGCGGCCTTGTACTGACCCTTGCCGGAGTCAAGCACAAGCTTCTCGTCGAGATGTTTCAACACGAGGTCATCATCGTCGATCCCAGCGTAGCCGTAGATCAGATGTGTGCAGTACTGCAGGGCGGGCTTGATGTCTTCAGCTGTCACCTTGGCAGCTCCTGAAAATTAGAAATTGTTGAAAAAAAATTGAATAATGAGCAAAATATTTATAGGTTTCTTAAACCGATTGTAGGAAAATGTTTTGGAAGCACATCTAGGTTTTTAAGCAGAATATGTGGATGCATGGTAAATAATGAATGTAGTAAGATGACCTATTAGAGACCAAGCCTAAATTTGTGAACTGATTATAAGAACGTGTGTTTCTTTGACCTTCTTAGCCATTCATGAAAAGTCCAAGATGAATGATAGCTTATAGTCCAGTTCCGGCAGTTTAAAACCATCAAATTAGTTTCTTAGAGAACTAAAGGGTCTGTTTTAAGAGCCTAACTGGTTTATGAAGCAGATAGCAGAAGTCTAATGAACAGGATATATAAGGAGTAAAGATACAGCTATGAATAAACATATGTGGAAGAAAAACCTCGCTGGAAGAAAGACCCCTTAAATGCTCAAAGAAGTGGGGAAAAGATGAAGTTGAAGGAGACATGAGAATATTGAGAGCTGATGAAGAAGGTAGAGGGTCAGAATTAAGGAGTAGAGTAGTTAGTTAGTGAGGCCAAATGCCTCCTGTCAATTTAAAAAAAAAATATGAGATTATTTCTGCATACAAAATATCAATAGAATCCTTAAATAGGTACCTATAATACGTGAAGGCGATTTCTCCAAAACATTACTCCTCCATTAACACGTTCACTGCTTAAGGAAATTATAAAATCGAATCGTATTGCTAAAAATTTTTATTGTCGTATTACATTCCTTCTTGTGTCCTTATTGAAATACAATATTATATAATACGATCGGAAGTGAATATGACGTCAAAAAGTGACGTCATATTAATGGGTCAGTACTGACCCATCAGGAGCCAGAGTCAGAAAAAAATTGAAATGTCACTGAATACATTATATATGTCACTAAAAATATATGTTCTAAAGATATATGTAGTCATTATCATAAAATAATCAACATAAAATAGTATATCAATTGATTGGAATTGATTGTGACTTCATAATGTGAGGTCATATATATATGGGTCAGTGCTGACCCATCAAGAACCGGAGTAAAAAAATTAAATATTTAACAAAGATGAAAGATATTAAAGTTTTGAAATGTTAACATTATTGAAATAAAATAGTTTAAAAGTTAATTGAAATTGAATATGACGTCATAAAGCACACAATAGTATCTAGGGGCGTTCACAGTAACGTGGGTCAGTACCGACCCAGCCGCCTCGGCGGGAGCGAGACGCGGGTACCAACTCAACGGCGAACAAAGCAAGTCACACACTACACGCTAACGTGGTATAGGTCCACCTTCGACTGACGCTAGGCTCGCAGTGAGCAATAGATTGATGCACTGCAGTGTGGGTCAGTACTGACCCGGCCGCGTGAGCGATGGGATCGCCGTGGGTCAGTACTGACCCACCCGCAGCGAACGTGTTAATAATGGACGGATTTTTACAAACGATGTGTCAAAATTAAGTATTTTTTCTGTAGGTGCACCCTTCCTGTAAGTTTCACCAATTCCTGTAATAAAAGTCCTCGGGCTTTGCTCCACAGGCCATCAAAATGCCAATTTATTTCTTATGAAGAAAATATTTTGTTTAGACAAATTATTTGTGTTAATTACAGTTGTTCATAGTAAACACATGATACATACAAGAGCGTTTATTGTTTTCAGAGTGAGCTCGTTTCCAGTTTCGATAACCGGAGTGGAGTGATTGATTACATAATCTTTGAGTTGACTCTTTTTAAGTAATCGGAAATTGCGACTGTTATTAGTTTTTAACGCCTGTAAAATACTTTGCAATTGCTCGAATTCGAGCAACAGGTGTACTCGTATTTACTAAATAACTGATAAGCATCCAAAATAGTATTATTATTTATTTTAGTTCTTTTTTTCTCTCTAGATAATAAGAAATATTTAGAATAGGAAATAACGTTTTACTCCCTTCTAATATTTAAAGCAAACTCATTGAATACTTTCTACCTTCCTCGAACCACAGCGTTGAATTATCTTATCATTTACTTGCGATAAACTTTATTCAAAGTTCAATTTTCTCTAAACCAGTTTCTAGAAAGTGACAGAGATTATGCAATATGAACTGTTCTGGTCTGTACTGTAGTGGAAGTATTTAGTTTAGGTTGCCTGGCCAAGCTTGTTTTAGGTTATAGAAAAAAAATGTTTTTGCATGCGTTAAAACACTCTCAACTTCTCATATACTTGGAGCATGAAAAGTTGTTTTTCAGTGAACATACATTTTCAGTGAAGAATGTTTGGGTGAACATTCGCCTATTGGGTCTGATGATGACGATCACCACTTATAATCTTTTTTATATATTTACCGTCTTGTGAGTAACAGTATAAGCGTAAATATATGTTTTAAGTTTTATAGGACGTTTATTTTATTTACTTGTTGTAAATTTAATAACACGTACAATGCTGATCAAGAAGTTATTTAATAAATTTTTCAGTAAAAACACAGTAATCCACATTAGTCTGTAAACAAAAAGACCGTGGTTCAAGGTTCAAGGACTGAAGTTCAATTTCTATTTGCATCTCAGCAATCAATACTATAATACTTACTTCACTTCACTTGCATGCCAAATTTATGAAGTGTCTTTTGATAAATAGTACGCTAAGCCTTATGCCAACCTTGGTTACAACAATAATTATTTTATGAAATTTCTATGGATCCGTAACCAATGGTTATATTTTGAAAAACCTATAAAATTTGGTTATTTGTGCATCAACTAAAGTAGATGACCTAATTTGACTTTTTAGCTATATTTGGTATTTTTGGTCTGCCCAATTTAAGTACCCTAAAATATGTTATGGAAAATCAAAATCCTAGAGGTTATAAAAAATGCTGTACTTATACTTATAAGCTTTTTAATGTGTGTTATTGGTTGTAATATCACCAAACTGAATATATAGGTTATAATTTATAGTTGAAAGTTAAAAAATATATATACAAACAAACAGCAAATGTTTGATGGTTATTAAACAACACGATGTGACAGTTTCTCAGAATTCAGTTGGATAAGTTCAATGATCCAATATGATATGGCTATAAGAACACATCAAGAAAAATTATTATAGTTGTTACTTCTTGTTTGATATCTTATTCGAAAATACTATTTACAAAGTTTGTGGGCCTTGCCTATTTTGCTGGGCTTACTTAACACATTGCACAACTCCAAGCTCAGCCAAGTAAGTTCCATTAATCAGCAACTTATAAGGTCAAAGATGACAACGAAGAAGCTGAAGTCGCTTGTCTGTTGATTCTGTCGAGTGAGGTTTGAGGTTTCACCATGACTCCACAATTATTTGATTACTCGTTATTTTATAAAGGAAAAGGCGGAAATGTCGCAAGAAATCAAATGTGTCAATTACAAAAAATGAAAACAAATTGAGAAAAGTTAACCTGTGCAGTTTAGAACAGAAAAACTTAACTGTACAATTAATTATCAAATGTGTTACAGTACTGTATTGGGTTTGATTAGACAATCATTAACCACTGGCTCATGTTTTGCTGTGGAATTTTATTTATTCGTAAAGGTTACGATTTTAAATATTGTTTACATTAAAGATCATTATCAAACTCTTTGGGATAACCATCCCAAATATTGAGTTTGATAATAATATTTAACCCCAGTGGGAAAGGTTATGCAAACTAGTAACCCTGTGGACTTGAAGGGAAGGGAAATTTTAACCCAAATATGAATGAAAGATGGATGTATGGCTTTGTTATAGAGACTAAGATCAGCTGTTTTCTTAAACAGTATAATTGAAACCCCAATTAATGGCACCGGCACTTTTAGTAACAGTGTAGATAGTTTCTCAAATGCAGCAAAGACACTCGGTGCTCGCGTTACACATTATATTTTCAAGCTACACTATTTTATGTTGGTTGGAATATTGAAGAGCAGCAAAGTAAGTAAATTCAGGAGCTACTTTGCGTCCTATAATACGTCCAATAAAGCCCTCTTTGTCAGGTGACTTTGGGAAAAATAATTAAACTGTTAAGGTATTTAATTTCTTGATCAACCAAATTTTTTTAAAATAATAAATATACATTTAGTTTACTTTTATCCACATTTTACTCATACACACTTTGAATTTTATTTGATAAGAATAAACTACATGAATGAAGAAAACATTATTTCAGTTTCACACTATTTTGTTTTGTTGCATTTTTACTTCCTGACCTTGCCTAAGAGAAAGACTTGGCGGGGATGAAACAAACAACCAAATTGGTACTTTGGAGGTCTGGAAATAGCACAAAATTACACCACACAGTCAACAAGTGCAAAATTTTGTATCGCTAACAAAAGCACAGGATGTGAAATGTGTCAGCCTTTGTTGCTTAACAAGCTCTAAGTGTTTGGTCAAGACAAACGCTGCTGATTGTGTTAGATCGCTTACAAAGCATGTGACAGTGGGCCAACATAGAATGTGAATGAGGTTTTGCAAGCGTAAATTAACAATGATTTTCAATAAAAAATGTCAGGTAAGGCGAGGACGCAACGGAAAGTTTCCATGGCTAAACAAAGTTTCTATACCTTTCAAGAGTTTGACTTCAATTTGTATACACTTGATAAGTCTATGTTTTAGAACAACAACAAAGTGTAAATCCCAGCAAATCTTTCAAAAACAGAAAGCCAAATTTTGATAAAACTGATGTTTTTAGAGGGGCATAACAGTATTTTGTTTCAATCTTTGAGGTAATGGCTCTTCCCCACAACTAATTGTAATACAACATTTTCTACAATATATTTCTGAGTTAAAGCAGGAATTCTCTTCTTAGGAGCTCTACAACTATGCTTATCAAAATGCTTAGAGAAAAAACACGTAAAAAGATCGCAACCCAAAATATAAGTGAAGGATGAGTGTCGAATTGTTGGATTAAAATAACTACATTCAAATGGTAGCCATTTCAGAATAAATTATTGAGCGATATATCATTGACTAAAAAGAAAAAGATATATCTTGTGATTAGCTATTTAACCAAGACCATCTGTTTATTTTCTTTGGCCAGGACCGATGACCATTTATCAAAACTTGAAATGAACAAGGACAGCTTTAGCCTGCAAAGCATGGATAATTTCGAAGTTTTTTTTCGTGTGTCCATGATTGAGATGGATGTTCATGCTTTTATGTTTATAGATGAGTCTTCAAGTCATCTAAAAAGAGAACACATAAGGTTGAAGGCCAACAACTCAACACTAGCTTTGATAAACCGGTTAGAGGATTCAGACCTCCACAAGTTGCAAATAAGGGTCATTGTATACCCTTGGTACACAGGAAAATCTCTCTTGGCATCAATGATAAAATCAACATCCACATCAGCTGTTAAAGTTATTTCGGACATCCACATCAGCTGTTAAAGTTATTTCGAACAATATTGTTAAGTTTTAAAGTGAATTTGTGACGTTCAGTAAAATACAGTAATTTAGAAACCAAGTTTGCTTTTTGAAGATGTAAGTTCAGAAATTGTGTTACGTTTTCTAAATTCCTATAAGAAAACCTATATTTCTTATATGGATATTGACATAAATTTTAAGTCTAAGTACCTGCCTTTGTAAGATATTTCTGTTAATAATTAATTAGTATTGGTCAAATGTACGAACATCGAATAACAAATCATAAAAGAAAAAGTTCTGAATTTCGAATATAATTTGTTACAAAATAATGTTCAAATATTCAATTTACGTTGAATTTGTATATTCATTCGAATTTTATTTTGGATCAATTAAACGTCTTAGCATAGGTATTATCAATTTGAAAACTCATAACGGTAAAATCGCGGCCAGCGATCACGGTAACGTCCGTAAACATCGCTTTGCGATCACGGCGATGTCGTGCAATTCCCGCGATCACGATAAAAACTCTCATTATATTTCAATCTGCTCTTATAGCTTCTGGGATTGGAACTAAACAGATGTACAATTCAGACTATATAAGAAAATATGGTTACTTAATTATTAAATATATAAAGTATGTTTTCACCTAGAAACATGAAACATTTATAGAAACAGGTGTGGAAACAGGAGTTCTTAAACTGAGTTTAAAACAATAAAAATTATAAGGAACTGTAATTAATTAAACCTTAAATAGTTTGTATTCATTAGTTCTTAGGAGGGATTGATTTATGTCACCTCTTACCAATGCTTTCACATATTTTGTCTGGATTTTCAACAAAGATACAAAGAAAGAAGAATAAAGAAAAATCGCTCAAAAGCTATGAATTTTACAATGACTGAAAACAATAAGAGACGGCAATACTCTTCTACTTCGGAATTAGGTTTGTGAATTGAAGTAAATTTGTAATTACTTCAATAGACTAAAGACTAGATGGACTAGAAATCTTCAAACATGAAGTCAGTAAGCACAAAGAAAGCTAACGTTATGTGTCAAAGTGTTCAAAAATTTAAGCCTAATCAGCTGATCGCTCGCAGCTGACAACAGAATAACAATAACTGCAAGTCTTGCACTGGAAAATAACTCGTTTTGCCACGAATATTTTCTGTTGGGCTTCACGAACTAGAGATAGTACACGTATTCTATTGTTTTACTGGGCAATATAAGCAAAACTCCCAAGAATTATTTGCTCTTTATTTTATTGATTTACATCAATTTACTTTATCTTACTGTATTAAACTGGTGATAGACTGAATTACAAAGTAGCATTGATACAAAAATGTTGTTAGGTAAAACTACACACATTGTACATTTTTTTGTCTAGGCCTATACCTTTAAATGTTATCGGTTTACAACAATTTGTGAATTATTTATTCTATGAAAACTACAAACTTGGTTTTCATTAAGTTTTATTAGGAGAACCAAATAATAAATCCTCTAAGAAAAAACGACAATACAATTTTTTACAACTTGATAAACTTTTCGTTGATTGCTGATTAATTAGATTTTCCTACAATTTAAATCCAATTACGCTAATCTTCTCTGAGAAACGAAAGTCACAGTTTACAAACAAGTGGCGAGTTTTTGTTGATCCACATCCACAAGTTATCAGTGGTTGAACTTTCCTGTTTTGCTGCTTAAATTATATTTCGAGGCTTGCGCAATTGATGTCTTAAACCGGCTGGCAGAGAATTCGAATAAAACTCCCGAGGATAAAGTGTATATAGTATCTTACGTTAAAATGTATGTAATACTGCAATTTAAAAAAAAACTAAAAATAATTTAGACGATAAGTAAGTTAACTGGTTGCAAACGTAAAGCATTAGCTCCAAAACTTGTATGAAAGGTATTGATTGTGATTGATATAATATATACACTGTCCTGAACCAACACGATTTTGTCTCAGGCATAGCTCCTGTATAGGCCAAATAAATTAAAGTAGACCTAGATTTACATGGCTCTTCTTCCCGTTCAAATATATTGATTTTTTTGCCCTAAGTCCCTTTTTGGGTATTACACGAATTGGTTAAACAATAAATATCGTTATAGCTTTAAATAAATATGTATCTATTTCAAAACTCAATAAATTTTTAAAATATTTTAAAAATAATTTTAAATTATGAAATTAAATGATTAAAATTATTTTCAAACATTTAAAACTCAATAAATATTTTAAAACTCTTCCATTAAAATACTGTACGTCTTTTATACCGAAAAATAACAAGATTACCAAGCAATTGATTAGAATGTACTACTATCATAGGCCTTTGGTAAAGAAACGTCCATGAAAAACAAAATTTAGATGCTAATAACTCCCACCTAACATTACAACATTTTACAAAATCGTTCAAGACAGGTAGAGCTATTCCGTTGAATACCTTAGTAATTTTGACAATAAAACAGCTGTTTACCTTCCCTCCAAAACGACTTGCCGTCCCAGTAGCAGACGACTTTGGCAGCATGTCCCTGGGGGACCTGGGCAGTAGCCACTGCCGCCAATAGTAGCACCAACCACGCTCGCATCTTGAATACTACAAGCTGATCAGCTGACCAGGAGCTTATATAGTCTCTAGCGACCCTTGTACCCGGCACGCCGTCCCAGTCTGTGAAGAAAATCCCTACTTCCCATCTATAAATCTTGAGAAATACCTCCTTCCCATCGATAAACTCCGCGAAATCATAAGAAGATTTTGAAACCCTTATTGTTCACAAGTATAACGATTTTGCTCTTTTCCCTCTGTAACTGAGGCGATTAAATAAAATCGAATCTCTGTTCTAGTTAATTTGGCGTTTTCTGAGTAAACAAGTTTTGATTTGACGACTGAATTGCACTATCTCAGTTGAAAAAATTTCCATGGAATATGTTGTAAACATTTTTGCTTTGTCCGAGTTGGACAATGCAATGATGTCACTTTTTAAAATAAAACAAACTATATTTATTTGTTAGTTTTTGTTATACCGGTACATACATTAAGTTGCAATGGTTATGTCTCATTGACAAATAGAGTGCCACAAATAGGTTATGATGAAATTTTAATATGTTTTTCAATGCAACTTTCTTCGTGTTTATATCTTTGATAACAATGTGGTTTTATAGTCACTGAAATCCTTGGAATCATAAAGTTACGAAAACAACAACCAAGCTAGGAAACTGATTAATTGTAAAAATCCGGCGTTAGTTCATTTTTTGCTATCGACAATCCTTTTGACGTGTTCTATTGTTCAAAGGAATCTGAATAGGATGCGTGATACAAGAACACACATGCAAATTAATAATATGTAAATTGAAATTTTCGTTGTATCCTGCTAAGAATCTGATTATCTGCTGAAGAAGAATCCGTGTGCTGTTTAGAGTCGTTAATCATTGGGGATTGAAATATTTCGTATGCGTTCGCTGCGTCAAGAGGTCCATTTCATTAATTGTTGGCTATCTGCCAGACTTCTTTAATTGATGACTGAAACAAGACTAAATTATGATATGCAGAAGGTACTATCAATTTAATTCCAAAATCAGTGGTACAGTCCACGCACAAACTAGTATATTTCGCATTGGTGTTGGAAATTTGGTACAACAAAAAAGGGAAGACAACTGGTTGTTTTAAGATCATTATTAAAAGCTAAATCCTAAAGTGGCTTGCTAAATAGGTATTTGATTTATTTATGTTAGATGTAATCATAATTACTATTTCTTAAGGCTTTTAGCATAGATTAAAAGAAAACTCCTTTTATCTATGCTTTTAGTAAAGGAAGGTCACTATAATACAGTTACCCTTGTTTTTTTTCTAGTTAGGATAGGAAGTATATAAAGTGTTACAGTAGTTGGTTACGGACGCTAGAAAGAAAAACGATTGGTGATTGGGGGGATTTAAACCCTTTGGCTCCAGGACAAAAGTCCCGCGCTCTAACCACTGGACTTAGCCACCCCCCTAATTTATAGCGATAAAAAAATAATTTTTAATACCAATATTTTAAGCCTATTTTTGGTTTCCAAATGGAATATGTAAAAAGGTTTCAATACAGAAGGAAAATTTAGATTGGTTTCTTGGAACCATTCTTAAACTCTCATGAACTTTTAAGAACAAAGCATTTAGAATATGAATATGTACGGTAACTGAGTGAGTAACCCACTAATGTTAGACTTTGGTCTTTTGCAAAAACATGCACCAAACAGCATGATTCACGAATGAACCGTGCGTCAGCGTCTGGACTGTACAACGGAGTTACAAGATCTTTATTCCCCGAATTATTAATAATAAATTGTTAATTTTTTACTATAGCAATACGTAGTCTGTTGTTCAGTTCAAAGTGGCCAAATAGCAAAACTAATGTCATGACCCTTAAGGGAGCCAGTTTTTCTCAATAGCCATCACACTAAAATTCTTGCGGGAATATTTGAAAAAATAAAAAAAATAATAGAGTACAAAATATTTGTTAGGTTAAAACATAGGTGGACTGTTTGTCTTAGTCATATACTTATTATATTTATTACTAAGCATTGCATTTTTTAAATTAATGGAAATTAAATATTGACTACTTTTCTTGCATACCTAAAATACCATACATCAAATTAAAAGAATCAAATTCACTTTTGTAATAAATCGGCTTAGCTACGTACAATACGCGACTTCGAGTGTTTCTTAAATTTATGGATGACTGTTAAAACCGTTGACTATTCCAATAAGTTAGTGGTAAAACTTTAAGCCGACTTTATACCTAGTTTTAATTACCTAAAGTAAAGCTAAGTATACCTCAAGTAAATTAATAAAACTTCATACCTATAGCGGTTTACTTTCCAAAGAACTTGGTTGAAGTTATGATTTGTAAAACCATAAAGAGTAGACTTTAATCTATGTCTAATCTAGTTTTCTATCTATTTCTCTGCCTACTTTTTAATCTAGCCTATGTTAAAACGAACTTTATTTCTTTGCCATGTCATATAGTTATGGCATGATCCTAAGTTCTCAAATTAATGTACGTAATTTTTACAAATAAAATAAACTCAAAAAAATACGAAGCGAAAACAGTACGAATTAAGTTAATAAAGTAACATGCCTTCAGTTAAAGACTATAACTATTCATAGGACAATTTTTGTCTTGATCGATAAATTTGTAACATTTGTTTTATTAAAAAATCATGACGTGACTTACTCTGGGATTTAGTTCTTCCTTCAAATGCGGCTCGGCAATCTCACGACTTACTTGTATAGCAGGAAAAGATATTGCTTGCAGCATCTCTGTAGGAGTTGTGCTAATACATGCTAATACTTTTTCTGCGTATCTATGTAACTGTGCTGTCTGATGAAGCACTCTCTCACAGTTCTACCATAGATCAGACAATTTAAGCCATATTAATTATGTCCAGTACCACTTGAGAGTGCGTTGACGTATTATTTTTATCCATTGAGGATTAGAATTACTAATTTAACTAACTATTAGGCCTACCATGTCCGGTGACACCGTTGGCTAGTGTCAACACGATTTTGTTTCTATTATTTCAGAGTTGATTTCATGACTTGTGCTTTACTGTTTGGGTATAACTAGAGAATGAGTTATTGTTTATGATTATATCGTTTTATTTGGTTTAAATGACTGAAATAACAAGAAATAAATTGTAAATACAACACGACCTCTACAGTGCACCAGTGCACCGGACAGAACTAACGATAAAATTGGCTTCAGCTGTTTCATAAGGATGGGAAATCTACTAAAGGACTATGTTTTATCTATGCTTTTACCTTGTCTACTCTTTAATCTATGCTATTGGGGAGCGAGCTGGTCTATTGGTAGAGCACGGGACTTCGTTTCCGGGTTCAAATCCCGCCTAATCATCAATGTATTTTATCATAGTGATAATGCCGCAACCGGCCAACCCCTGTCTAGACAAGTTTAGCCTGAAATAATGTGAAAAACAATTCCGGGCTCGTACCTAGCGTTCTAAGACAAAATACCCCGTCGCAGCAAACCTGCAGCCTAAGTGAATTTCCATTTGCCTGATTTAAATAGCATTAGGTTTTACTAATACCTAGGTTTGCTGCAGGGGGGGCAATAAAGTGTGTTTTTTTGCAAAATATTAATATTTTAATATAAAATAAAGAAATTTGCCAGGTTTGATCAACATATATCTAGAAATAAGCAAACCACAACAGTTAACTTATTCTCCATAAAAATAACAATATAAAATTTAAAATTTTTTGGATTTTCTACGTAACCACCCAAAGCAATTTTGTATACTAAACTATTTTTTTAAGATCTTTAAATGGTTTGAAGAGAAATTGGGAAATCTCGTGTTTTAAGGGCAAAAATGAGAAAAGCCAATTTTTACCCCATAAACCCTCCCCCCCCCATAAAGCCCTGTTCCCATGGTCCGATCATGCTGGTTTGCAAACTCTTTTGGTTTATTCCACCTTACATCTTCAAGCCAAATTTCATAAAAACTGGGACAAATTTTGGCCTCCAGAGACATAAAAATGAAAAAGTATATTCGTCCCGTGTCCAGGTCTTACCGTGCCACCTACGGCAATAGCTACTTCCCTATAGGGAAATTAGCTAAAATCTATGCTATTACTACCAAACGAAGAACGAGCCATTTGTAAAACATTGCTTCACATCTGATACGTTTACCATACTACTCTGGTTTTATATGTTAGTGTTAACTAAAATTTACCCTGGAAATATCTCGGTGACATCAACTCGTTGAAGCGTGGCCGGGCCAACTTTACATCGTTGGGCCGGAAATGAAACGCACATCAAAACAAGCATACAATTTAGGATGAGAAAAGATTTCTTGCATTTATGTTTGCACTTTAGTATCCAAAGTCAATGGCTGAAATGTGATAATTAGATTTTAACATAACAATAACTAAATAATGTTCATGCAGTATTACTGTATATCGAAAACATGATTTGACAAGAACAATTGACTTAAAACACATATTTTATATTTTCTAATATATGTATTACAACGCTTTGATGACGTCAGAAAATGTGCTTTTGTCACCTACCGTACCATGAAGTTGCTTAGGCACTGTGCTTTTGGTTCGTCGATCGGTCCATTAGTCGTTTAGTGCTGCACTCTATAAAAGAGAAGAGCTGCATGAACAAAGGAAACTTTTATGTTTACCTTAATTGCCGACAGGCAGTGCTGTAGTCGCAGCAACTGTCTTTGCGGACGAACTGAACTCGGATATCGGGGCAACAAACTTTTGCCAAATGTCGGTAATTTTTTCAGTAAAGCAGTGTTATTAAAACAGTGTTTTAGTGCGTGTTTATCTAATTTTAGTGTATATTTTCACATTAGTTCGTATGTTATTCGTGGGAGTGATTATGATGCATTTAAGGGACATCAATAAAGTAGACATAAAGGTTATGTTCTTCATCAGCAGCTGATCCATTTTCTAGATCCCTGAGATCTAAGACTGATAATTAATTATTTACATTTTGTAAAGGATCTCACAAAAAAGGTACCGTAAAATTTTACTTTTTTTAAATTTAATACATCCAATTTACAGTCTTGTATCTTGAATGCACTGTATTTAAATTTAGAACCACAAGC